CTATACTTTTGCGTCGTGTCCTTCCGTCCTTCCGTTCTTCCGTCCTTCCGCTATCTTGTCCGGGCTCTATCTCCTACACTACTAGTCACTAGATTTTCATACCTTGGTGAGGCGGTGTGTCGTGTATCAAAAGTAGATCACTCTGACCTACATTTTGACCTTTGACCCGCATCAAAGAAAGAGTTTGTCCGGGCTCTATTTCCTACACTACTAGTCACTGGAACTTCATACTTGGGGTATGGGTTCACTCACCTTGATGAGGCGGTGGGTCGTGTATTAAAAGTAGGTCACTCTGACCTACATTTTGACCTTTGACCCGCATCAAACAAAGAGTTTGTCCGGGCTCTATCTCCTACACTACTAGTCACTGGATTTTCATACTTGGGGTATGGGTTCACCTTGGTGAGGCGGTGTGTCGTGTATCAAAAGTAGATCACTTTGACCTACATTTTGACCTTTGACCCGCATCAAACAAAGAGTTTGTCCGGGCTCTATTTCCTACACTACTAGTCACTGGAACTTCATACTTGGAGTATGGGTTCACTCACCTTGGTGAGGCGGTGGGTCGTGTATTAAAAGTAGGTCACTCTGACCTACATTTTGACCTTTGACCTGCATTAAAGAAAAAAATTGTCCGGGCTCTATCTTCCACACTACTAGTCACTGAAACTTTATACTTGGAGTATGGGTTCATCTTGGTGAGGCGGTGTTTCTTTTATCAAAGTAGGTGATCTGTTTTTGACCTTTGACCTGCATCAAAGAAAAAGTTTGTCCGGGCTCTATCTCCTACACTACTAGTTACTGGAACTTCTTACTTGGGGCATGGTTTCACTTGCATTGAAGAAGAAGCATACATAGTGTCACCAGATGCAATTTAATAGTAAAACGGTACCAATAACCAGTAAACATCCACCAGATTTATTTGCAATAGTAGCACTGACATTATTCCTTATTGAATACGGTGGGTCTGTCAAATATTCATATATAGAATTAGTTCCTGCATTAATTTATCATCTGTTCATTTCACATTCGATGGGGGACTATAATTCGCCGAATTGTCTTGTTTGTTCTGGTTAATCCTTGGTTCATCTGCCACTCCCTTCCACCTTCCCGTTTGTTTCAAGATGTCAACGGTTCCAGTTGTTGTATGTCCATTTGTTTTGGTGAGTCGTCGGTTCCCATTGTTATCTTTCTTTGTTTCGGTGTGCAATCGATTCCTGTTGATGTCTTTTCTTTGTCCTAGTGACCCATCAGTTCCTGTTATTGTCTTTCCTTTGTCCTGTTTTCCCATCTGTTCCTGTTGTTTTTTTCCTTTGTCCTGTTGTTCCACCTGCTCTTTTTGTTGTATTTCCTTTGTCCTATTGTCCAATTTCTTCCTGTTGATGTCCTTCCCTTGTCCTTTTGTCACATCAGTTCCTGTTATTGTCTTTCATTTGTCCTGTTTTCCAATCTGTTCCTGTTGTTATATTTCCTTTGTCCTGTTGTTCCACCTGATCTTTTTGTTGTATTTCCTTTGTTCTATTGTCCCATCAGTTCCTGTTGTCGTCCTTCCTTTGTCCTGTTGTCCCATCTGTTCCTGTTGTTGTATTTCCATTGTCCTGGTGCTTCCTCGGTTCTTGTTCTCTTTTTGTTTCGTCATTCCTGACTTTTACTACAAACCCAGTTGTAATATCTTTTGCACTTTGATAACAATTTGCATTTACATCTATCGATTAGTTTGGACCTGGCCTGCGTTAAACCTTACACCAGTACGGTGATACTGATGTCTGGTATGAAGGATCACACTTTTGGTGTTTGTGACACCTTCATCTATCAACTATTTAGTATAAAATAGCTTAAACCAATACGATAAGCCTGTTTGGATTGACACACCTTTGGCAGTATGGTAAGGCTAATGTCCTTTTTAGCACCTTTTTCATATCTACATTTGTGTCTAGTAATTGAAACGAACACACGCCAATAAAGAACTACTAGTTTCATTACCGTTAGCGCTTATGCGTCTGTCTACTATGAATGAGTATTGCCTTTATCTCTTTTTTTGCTTGTATGAGTATGATAGAGCACACTTTCACTACTAAGGTAAAATGTTACATTACCTTTTGTATTTACCTGATCTAAAATAACACACGTTAACCAATATGGTTGAATTATTGCCCTTTTGACATCTTTTACATATTTATGTTCTATGAAACACATTAAACCAATAAGGTAGGACTTGACCTTTTTACCATCTTTTACATATATCTGGTGTGGGACAACAACTGCACCAGTACGTATCACCATTTTGCATTTACCTAGTGTGAAGGAGCACACTTATGCATTAAGGTACGACTAGAACGTTAAAGAATCATTTACGTTATGACCAGTATCGATTATTTAAGTATTGGCACATTTTAAAATGTTCAGGTTAATAAACGTTTATCTAGTACAATCTAAATAAGTATTTAGATAAGGCTGGGTCATTTACTGGCACTATTTCAGGGAGTTGCTTCTTCTTGTTTTCAAAGGATTTCCTCTTTTCTCCCATGTTTTCAAAAATTCTTGATTGTTCTAAAACATTTGAAATATTTCTAAGTTCCTGTTTTGGCACCTTTTACATCTGTCTATTACATCTGACACCTTTTACATCTGTCTAGCACATCAGTCATTAGGTAGGGCTGGGTCCTATTTAGGCACCTTTTACATCTGTCTAGCACATCAGTCATTAGGTAAGGCTGGGTCCTATTTAAGCACCTTTTACATCTGTCTAGCACATCAGTATGGTAAGACTGGGTCCTATTCTGGCACCTTTTACATATATCTGTAACATCAGTATGGTAAGACTGGGTCCTATTCTGGCACCTTTTACATCTGTCTAGCACATCAGTAATAAGGTAAGGCTGGGTCCTATTTAGGCATATTTTACATCTGTCTAGCACATCAGTCATTAGGTAAGGCTGGGTCCTATTTAAGCACCTTTTACATCTGTCTAGCACATCAGTATGGTAAGACTGGGTCTTATTCTGGCACCTTTTACATATATCAATAACATCAGTATGGTAAGACTGGGTCCTATTCTGGCTCCTTTTACATCTGTCTAGCACATCAGTATGGTAAGACTGGGTCCTATTCTGGCACCTTTTACATTTGTTATACAACAGTAATTAAGTAAGGCTGGTTCCTATTCTGGCACCTTTTACATTTATCTGGTTCATCTGTAAGGTAAGGCTGGGTCATGTTCGGCTAATGTTATACATGTAACCTACGAACGGCTCGGGCCCAACACTTTATATACGTGTAATAACTAGCCGGCGGTCACAGTCCAGCGATCCATCAACATTCGCTCAACCGTACTACCGCATGTCCATCCCGAAGTAAGGACAATGACGCCATCAAATGGTATTGAAATGCTAGTGGTCAAATATTTACAACGCATGGTCAAGGTGATGTTCTTGCTTCATTCCGTAAACTAGAAGAATGTGTTTTATATTAGATACATATTTTTAAACTGATTTAACCTTTGGACGGACTGCCTTGTAACGTATCGCAAGGCCATGGACACTTTTTGTGTTTGAAATGATCCAAGTGGCCGTAACACCGACAAAACTGACATGGAAACGTTAGGTGTTAGTGCTGTCCTACTATAAACACAACAGGACTTTACCTATATGACGCGTGGGCCATGAATCTGAAGTTTAAATGTGAATCACATCCTGATAAACGCAGTGTCATATAGTGGTACAGGACGAGGAGACATCCTATCTAATAAGCACCGTCTTCCGTTACTGGTACATTTCGTGTCACCTGACATCAACTGGATTGGTTTGGACTCAATTTATTGAAGAGAATAAGTTTGTCAACAACACAGGATTGAAATACAAGTAAGTACACTTCTTAATATTCTTATTCGACATGTATCCCTTGTCGTTCATGATTATTGTGTCTTGTAGTAATGGATAACATTGGAGGTTGGATTTATCATTATTTGTATATGTTTGACCGTCTCTGTTTATCTGGATAACAGACGTATGATATATATTAAAACAGGAATATAGAGACATCTTGTTATACAGTTCAACAGGAAAACTAATACTTATTCTCCCGTACAGCAAGGGATTTGTAGCACCTGTACCGATACAGATATTTGTAAATGTAATCTAGTTATAACTTAATAACGTTAATACATTTCAGGTAAGAGTTCACGATATATTTGTCCTACTCGTGATCAGTAATGTCACTTTCTAGGTACACATCGATAGATCATATTTTTCATCAAGGTATTGGTTTTAAGTCATGCTAGGTTTATGTGGGAAGTCTGCCTAACTAAACCCACCAGTATACAAGACGCCATTAGCGAAATATATTCCCATGACTGAGTCATACATGTATTACATAAGGTTATGTTTGGCTATATGCATATTGTTCAGGCCATATATAGATATTAATTATACACACAGAGAAACTCGATTGTCCAGTTGGACAGCGCGTGCCTGTCACTGATCTCGTCTGACGTTTATAGTACCGGACACATGATAGCCACTTATTAGGGAATACCATGATGGGATGTTTATTCATTAGGTAAAAAGTGCATCAGGACACTTCAGCTCCCTGTATAACCTTATAGTTGGAACGAACGCAAAGCGTAAGACACCTTACCACAGATTGTAACATTATTGGGACACAGGACCTCTGATTTTCAGTCCCATCCAAAGTTCTACCGATGCCATTTATTATCATCCTCTGACCCATTAGTTGATGGAATATATATATATATATATATAATATCATTGCGTTATTCTATGTGACGTAGACTTGAATTGAATTCTACATTTTTAATTTAGTTTAAATACGATTCATAGTGTACAAATAGTGTAAATAGTAGACTTATTTTGGCATGTTTAAATGATTAAAACAGGTTGATTACAACAAAAAATGTTGATATTTGAATTCAAAAAAGCAAAACATTTGAATTAAAAAAATCGGTTAACTTGGAACATCTTTGAACTAAATTATAAATTTTAATCGGAAAAAACCCCCATATTTAATTAATCATCTAGAAAATACATTTCCATTCACAAATTGAGTTAAAAACACTGTCGAAATATCTTTTTAAATTCAAATATGTATTTTTAAATCTATATGTAAAATGTTGAATTCAAATGTTATTCATTGGATTAAAATACATATTTCGGTTTTGCTACGTTCGACACGCCATAACTGTACGGTACCTTTTCAAGTCGTGATGTCGTTAGTGGATTGATCAATAGGATTTTAACAATGATGTTTTACGATTATTTTATGACCGAGTATGTTTGTGATGTATACCATTGACCCCGATTCCCGCACTAATGTGTCAGTGTCGGACTTGCATGAATAATTTTATTGTCACTGTAAAACAAACCTTTACTGGAACGTGGATTTTTACATAACGGAACGAAATATTAATTGGCTTTATAACTTTTTGTTTCGTCACGCAAAATTACTGAAAATATTTGTTTTTTCGCTTGCCGGTTTTTTACCAGTAAAGTATGATGTATAATACTATAAAGAGCTAAAAATTTTGTTATTCCAAAGTTTGCGACTCTCAGTGATTGCCTTTAAATAATAAACAAGGGAAATATAATTTAGTTTTTTCACCCAATAAATCATTAACGATAAAGGCAAAAGAAATGTAAATCATGGTACTATTGAAAGTGCACACCAGTTGACTACGTATAGGTGTTGTTAATAGAGATTAACACGTGCTATATCGCATGGTGGGTAAGTGTGTAGATGTATATATATATATATATTCATATATAATGCACGATTAGTAATGTCTGATGTGTGGACAGGCTGAGGTGATGTTTGATTTATAGCAACACAGTCATCTAACACTCCCGTCTAAAGTAGAGAGACGTGTTGGACTGGTGTACTATATGTGTACACATGTGTAATCAAACAGGATCCTCATATCCAACAAAACGCCCGTGCAGGTGTATCCCACTGCATGATCGTAGGAGGCGACTAATGTGGACGCCTGCGTAATCGGGGGCTTTCTTTAGCGTCTTCGGCTTACTTGGCAATTTTAGAGTGCCACGCTACAATGTCCAGTTTAAGATATTTCGGGGATATGGTATGCTAAAGTGGCCCTATCATATGCGACTTCAAACCGCAAATCTTCGAATAAACAATAAATTCACACCAATAAACATTACAAACCGGGAAAAATCCGAAATGTTCTATTTCGTTAGTTTTAAAATCTATTGGAATTCATTACTAGAACGACATTTATTATCTAATAAACCATGATTTTAGTAAATATGACTGTATCAAATATTACGTCATTAAAATATAATGACATCTGCGGATAGCTAGACTGACTTGTGGAGGTTTCCAAATGTCTATTCTGACGTCATAATCATCAATGTTTTAAAAATGTATTTTGTTCTTTATATTTAGATCAAATTGGATTTAGCATTGCCAAATGACCAAATAAAATGACGAGTTTGATTCATGACATGGAAATATTATCTACGTAAAAATTCACAATAGGAAGTTTTTTTGTTTGTTTTTTGTTGTAAATTGGTGCTTCTCAAATTTTAATTAATTATTGTAACAATAATATGTACAACCGGGCAAATTCTCGGGTTAAGTCCGCGATATCAGAGGGATCTCTCCCTTCTCATCTTAATTACTAACACGATACAATTAAGCTGTCTTGCATTGTTTTTGCAATGATTAATTGTTTTAACGAAAATAACCTTGTCCGCGGTCGCCTCATGTGACGCACATAAATCGTCCATCATCTGTTTGTGTTTTAAGTACCAAACTTTCTTGTATTGTTGATTTTTTTTATCACAACCATGTCACAACCAACCGTCTTCAAATGACATTGGCTGTTGGGAGGACGTTAAACCCAAAACAAAAAAGGCACAATCAGTCTGTGTTAATAACACGCTAACTTCTTCTTCACCTGACTTGACCTGCTGTATTTTTCTCCTACGTACTGTATTTTACCGGCAATGTTTACTTTGGCAACTTGGGTGACCACTTTGTCAGAATACTAGTATTATGATCACTGGGGTGTCATGTTACGGTACCATGTTCAGGAAACCATATTTCTGTGAAATGACAATCTAAAGTTGTCCTCTAGTAGCAAAACCGTCTTTACAAGATTTTGCGATGACGCAATAACCCAGAAAGAAAATAAACCTAACCCTTAGTACAAATATGTTTTTATTACTTGCACCAGCTGGCTTCAGCTAAGGTTGGTAAAACTTACCCACGTTAAAGCCAGCTTGTACAAGATACACGCTATCCTGTTCTTCAACCAACACTAACCCTTAGTACAACCAAACATTTAGCACATTTGTCACAACCCTGTCTCTTCCATATCTCGCAATAATAATATCAGAATATGACGTTATTTGGTTTTGGTGACCACAGTTTTGACTTTTATTTTCGTCATTATGTGATATTGTATCTAGATTGTGGTAACGGAGCAATGTCACGTGACGATTAATTTAAACGCAATTGAAGCTTTTCTTCACGCAACGTTAGTCATATGAATAAAGATGAAATCTGTCGTGTGTTTATGAGTGGTTTTGCTTAAAATTTTGACAGCATTACATAATAAAATTGGCGTCCACATCTACCGTAAACATGGCTTCACGGTAAAGCCAGGCTTAACATACCATGTGTCTGTTTGAATTATCAACTTCATATTTAAACTTTCAAGGATAAATGTCAGAGTTAAGATGAATTGATATGAAAATCTCGAAGTAACCTATGTATATTGGGTGATATGTTTTCAGTCTGTCTTCGTCTTGATAGTTTTGGCTAACGTTGGTTTTTACATTCTCACTCTTATATCCTTGTTTCAATAGTGATACCAAATGACTCGAATGAATTGCAAAATGGCAGAATTTGGCGATAGTAACAATAGTAATGAAGCTCCTTTTAATTAACATGAAAGAGAAAATACAACGCTATGCTTGATATTATGCTAACTGTGTATTGGAGATGTATTTATGAAACGGGATTGACCATTTTTAAAAGTCCTTTATGAGCAAAATCTATTGATGTTATGAATTCGATTTTTTGCAAACTGTCATATTAATAGGAAAAATCGATAAATCTCCCCTCGTTTCATTTTCAATCTCACTTTCCGTCAACGTATTTTAAGGTCCTCTTTTGCAATTGTTTCTAAGATGTTACTAAGATGAAAATCTCCCAACCCCATTTATAACGCCAAAATAACAGGTAATGGCAATAAGTCTCATAAAATTATACTCAAATAAAACAGAACACCGTTAAAGAGGTTTTTGCGGTGTGTGAATATTTTCACTGGCAGTGGTTTTAAAATCTATATATTCTATATATATCTATTATCTTTATAATATATTAATAAACGGTCACGTGTGGATATTTCGCGCTTATTTACTCTACGCAAAAGAAACCTGAAGGTTTCTACACCGCGAAAATTTCATCTTGACCAGTATTTTATTTATGTTTATGTTCAAAACTTGATGGCCAAATGTTAACTAATTACAATATTAAATGGGTTTTATAGTATATATGAATGACGAAAAATGTCATGTTCTGGATTAATATGTCCCGTGTAGTATAGCACGTATGTAACTGGGGATAAAATAAAGTAATTTTGGTGTGCACTTGAGCTGTATCCTTGACCCATGGACGCCTATCCTGTCATTTAACGATTGGCTTACTGTCAATCATTTATTCACAACTGCCGATACACGGCTAGTGGTCAATTCAGGGTCAGTTTATAATATGTACTCCACTCGTTAATAGATCAACGTACGTACAAAACCCCGATGTGGGATATTCATTGGAATTTGTAGCAAATTAACGGTGAGATTATTTTTCATAAATTGCTTCTATTGAAAATTGAAATGTGGAATATATTTGTTCCCGAATTGAGCAGATCTGTAAAAAGATCCTACAAATACTTTTTAATACAATTTTATTATTAATCTAATACATATATACAATCATATCATCCAGCCGCAATGTTTTAATGTGATTTCTTGTTACTTGTTTTTCTCTAATACGAGTTTTATGATGTTTTGAACCCTACACCAATGTACATCTTATATGTAAGCTGGTCAACTATTCCGTGTTTTTTTTTTTTTTTTTATAAAATTGGTTCTCAATTATAATGTTCGGACCATGATGAACCTGTATATAACATAAAAGTAGGCCACATTACTGAAATCCTACCTACAGGACAGTATTGTAGCTACGAGACTGAAGTTTTTCAAAGAATGGTGGTTGATTTGTTCGTAATTTTCAAAATGGTCTTCAGATGGCTATATTCTATGCTAAAAAAAGTAAAAACTGCACACATTGTAAGTATACCGAATAATATGTATTTGAAACTATAAAAAGAAAAAAATTGAACCATGAAATTTTCAGATAAGGGTCCTTATCGTGAAAATAAATTACGTCAAAGTTTCAGGGAACCTATGATATTGTAAATCAAAAAGGAGATCGACCTCAGGTGATTAACACGGTATTACAGCTTGCTATGAGTTTGTGGATGATGGCGAACTATATTTTGTGCATTTGCTTTGTCTTGGTAGTGCTATAATCATGTTGATATATTTAAGAGATTTTCTATTCTTATAGACCCGGAAAGATGCGTTTGAAAATCCTGGTTTTTAACATCCTCCTGTCATGCGCACTAGACTCGGTGTACGGTCATGGTCGGCTGATCGATCCACCGTCCCGTTCCACCATGTGGCGATACGGCTTCAGCAATCCGCCAAACTATAACGACAATCAGCTCTATTGCGGTGGACTTCAGGTAAAACAACAACAATATTTACTTGGTTGGTTGGCTTAGGTTTAAAACATAGAAATATAAAAAAGGAAGCGTCGCAGCAATATCCGAAATTTATACTGTGTACTTGATGTTGATATAACTCGCAGGGATTTTAATTTCGCTATATTCGCAGTCAACAAAGAATGTGTTCATTAAAAAACCTAGTGAATATTATGAGAGTGAAATAATAACACACACAAAAATGAAGAGACATGTTAACCTTTTCAGTAACTTTCATAATTATTTGTTTTCAGGTTCAATACGAACAAAATGGCGGGAAATGTGGGTTATGTGGTGATAACTGGGCAGGTGTTCACGAAAACGAGGCTGGCGGGAAATATGCAAATGGTATAATAGCGCGGACTTTCAAGTCTGGGCAGGTGATGACAATCAGGATAGAATTGACAGCCAATCACAAAGGCTACTTCGAGTTCAAATTGTGTGCTAACGACGACCCGCGGAAGAAGGTCACACAGGATTGCCTTGACCAGTATGTGCTTGAGGTCGTGAACCCTGACATCCGGGGAACTAAATACCCCGTGCCCAACAAGAACGGCCACCAGAAACTCGAGTTGCAGGTTCGTCTGCCAAGTGGCGTCCGGTGTCGGGACTGCTTACTCCAATGGAAATACAACGCCGGAAATAGCTGGGGGAGAGACTCGAACACCGGGGAACAATGTCTTGGATGTGGAAACCAAGAACAGTTCTACGGATGTGCTGATATTGCTATCGGCCACACCGACATACAAGAGGGTCTTTCTCTCATCACAGGTAAAAACATGAAAACTTCAAACTCTATGACCATTCCTCCCCCTCCACCAGAAGGCCTCACATTTGGAGACACCTGGAATTCACGTCCAACACAACAAGGCGGTCCTCTTGTGACACAGTCTTTTGCTCAGGCAACAGAGAAAGGCGTGATTGTGTATAAAGACTTCGAGGAGTTCCGAAGAAGATTTCAGAACAGTAGAATCCAACCATGCGTATGTCACGCATGTGTCGGATCTACGTGTGTGTGCGAGTGTTTCTTCAGCGGACACACTTCACATGTTCCCACGTGGTACCACCGTATTTGCATTCTGTTGGTAGCCATAGTCACGTGCTTAATGACGTACTATGCAAATAAAGATCCATGATTTATGAACCTTTTACCGATCATGAAAACAAAACAAAATGTGCCAAATAATTATATGCAAGAAACATCACTAACAGGAACATTATACATCTGATTATGTCATATTTTGATATACAAACTAGATGAATTGTGTTTCTAATGGTGCTGAATTGACGAATACTGTCTGTATGGATGTACTGCATTTTTCAGAACGTTTCCGTTTTTTTCCATCATCCCTTCCTTTGTACTGTAACTGACTATAAGATTTAAGATTCAATACTTATTAGTATTTGCTGGATTTAAAGAAGAGTTTTAACCTTATTATTGTTCACATCATAGAGTCCAATCCACGGGAGTAGTATTGTTTGAAGCAGCAAAATCGCGAAATAAGTATTTTCTGGAAACATCGTAGTTTACAGTACATTGAAAATACTCGTATGGTTGGTCTGTGCCGATACTTGGTGTTCACAAAATATGTCTCAGAAGTCATGTAGCAAGGCTTTCATATATACATCGAACCTGACACCAAGGGCCATATAAGGTTCGCTTCACAAAAAAAATCGTTTAAAATGTAAGTAATATTTTGCAAAGGGATACCCGTAGCATGCAAGGTGGTCAGCATGTCCGTTAGATAATTTTATACAATGTTAAGGTATGAATAGGTTTCAGTAGTGCACACAAGAAAACGTTAACCTTTAATTTGCAGTAACTTTCGAAATATGCCTTGCAAACATTGATCCCAATGGTGACGTTTGGCTATTACTATCCTAAAGCTTTTTTCGCACCATTGATCAGCTTGTTTTTACTTCATGGTTTTACGGAAGCTAAAGAATAGGTACCAGTATCCTGACATCTCTAGCTTTGTCGCCTGCTGAGCATTGGTAGTAATATCGACATAACGAAATCTCCTTTCGAGAAGGCTGAGATGCGTTGAAGTGTATCGTAGAATTAGGTAACGTATGCTGATTTCTGTGTGTTGTCTTTTTCACAGGATAGTATCTAGTCCTTATATAAAAATTAATCAAATTTGTTTCAAGTAATTTATGACAATTTAAAGTCACACAATAACACATGGTCAATGAAATCTGCTTGAGATACAACCTCTATTAAACCAACCACTTATGCTAAGAGCCACTCGAGTAGAGTCCACCTTTCACTTATCTCAAGTTAATTGAGCCTGTATAACAAGATAACATGTTATACGCAGCCACTTCTTTATTGTTTCTAAATATTGCACGTCAGTGCAAGTTAGACATCTTAGCTTACGTGTTTGTTCAGACTATTAACATCATAATCTCATTTAACCCTGAAATTTCAAAATGAACTGTTCCAACATTTGAATTAGAGGAGTTAAAATGTGTCTTCCTGGGTGAATGAGTTAATAGAGTAACATTATTTGTCCTGTTATATAACGAATACACCATGATGTTGTGGACACCCATTGGTCAATTCCATTTTGGTCTGGTTTGCCAATGCGGGAACATTTCAGTGAAGGTATTCAAGGTATTTTTGAAAGCCAGGGTTGAGGGGGAGTGCGCATGGTATTTAAATTGCTGATTGAAGAGTTTCAAAGTTTGACCAGATATTCTGAAACGTCTCAACCTGACGTATCACGATGATACCTTGCAGGATAGAGTTTACCCTTAAGGTTGGTTTTCATGCGGGTTTTTTTTCTTATTCAATGTTTGTTCACGAGTAAACGAAACGTTACTAGAAGGCATATTTTGATATATCTTCCTTGTGTCAGATAAACCCTCATATGCATGAGTATTTATACATTTATAAAAGGTAAGTGTCATTGTGCATGCTATACGTTGTCAAATTATGTCAAAACGAGAAGAAATTTGCATATTTCGTGCAACTAATCAGAAGTGGCACGCTTGTATATCATCTGTGATAAAATAAAATATATAGTTGCTGCAAAATGAGTGAGAGTTATCCTTCTTTGTGTTTAAGTAAACCCCCTTCAAGAGAGGTAACTGCCCATGGTTTGTAGGTATGTTGGTATTTTTCGTACAATCTACATGTTGGTATGTCGCTAGTAGAAGTCATTAGTCACTAGTCTAATGAAAATAACTTAGATTATTAATCAGTGTCTTCGTTCATTCATTTTACAGGTAAAGTTTAAAGTCAGATATTTGGATGAATATTTTCTTACTGATAAAAAAAAAAAAATCATATGCGTATAACATGTGCATACATTTGGGTTTTGTATAGATAATATTCTCAAAATGTCTTAAAAGATGTATGTAAATGGATATCTGTTTTAGTTTATGATGGCATTTATATAATTAAGTAATCAGATTAAAGACGTCTGACCTTCGAGCCAGTCATATGTTCTTTTCATGTTTGAGAATAAAGTTATTAGTGAGATGTGAAAGCGTGCACATGACTACGATAGAGATGTTGATCGTGAATCTAAGATCCTAAATGAACAACTTTTCAAATTGGTTTTTTTATAATGACCTTTTTTTGTCAGGAATTATCAAGAAGACACCATATTCTGAAATAGCGAAGGTATAAATTTAGTATTTGGATGCATTGTAGCGAAAGTTGTACTATAATGTATTTTCGAGAAATAGATTTCGGCGACATTTCCTCAATTAATTACCCCGCGTTTAACATGTTTTTGAAAATTTTGTCAACATTTGGAGATTTTTATGACGATTAAGATATTTATTGCATTATTGATATTTTGCTGGCTGTGGTGATCGATATTTCCTACATCTGCCCGTCATAATTAGCATGTGCAGCCCTTTGTCGATGTGTCGACCGCAGGTGGCACGGTATACCAGAATCAAATCACGTGAATAGCATGTGCTCGCCAATCTCCCGTCGTGCATAACTAATAGGGGCACAATACGATTATTTTTATATCAAAGAATAAAATAAAATAAATCCGACATCATTTTTACTGGTCAGCCGAAATCAAGAGAATCTATTGTTCGTAAGTCCTACATCGGCCAGAAATAAACAAATGACATGCAACGAAATCTGTCCGCACCTTTTGTGATAATGGACGCAGTATCGCACGCGCGCGAAATTGTAGAACGCAGCCAGGTGCTAACTTCCTCATCGATTTTTATGATCTAATTCAAACATTAAGTGCTAGACACGAAGGCAGTTAACAAAGACAGGGAAAGTCGTCTGTGTCTTTTGGTATTGATGAGTAAAGAGAACACTCTTTAGTATTGAACGAATAAAGAGACGATTTAAGCGGGATTAATTTGCATAATAGCGATTTTTTTTATCTGATATTTGGTTGCGTTATGTTTTTTAAAGATTGTCGATCATTTTTTCACTTTTGATGCTGTAGGAATATTTTGACGCCTATCAACTTCACAGAACAGTGGCAATGTTTCATGCAATAATCATATTCATACCTTGTACTTTCTTGTGTATAAGGACAACCACCTGAGAGGAAAACATCGTAGTTTTAGTTATTTGGAGCTTTTTGGCTCCTACTATCACCGATGAGTCCTAGAAGGACAAGACAGCTGTATGATGCAGTGAAATTCATTTTGGCATACTGAATGTATTACCAAATTATACCGGTGAAGTCACCCGTGTGTGAAGGTGTGTGTGTGTTACGTTCATCTTTCAAAAGATTTCTTTGAAAAAATGTAGACAAATCTTCATACACCTAATATTATAGGGTAACATGTGTGCTTAATATCCAAGGCCAAAAACGTTGGCGAAACAAGGAAAAAAAAGAATTTAAAATATATATAGTATAGTATTCGTTGTTGCCGACAAAGATACCCTACGTAGTTAGGAAAGAGTAATGAGAAATCAACATTAAAACATTGGAAGAACACCCACATATAACTGGTTCAAGTTAAAAAAATATTAATTGCATCTGTGATATTTGATAAGGGGATATAAATGTGTCGAGAGTCTGAGCGGTGACTAAGCACTAGCCTGGAGGCGGTGACAGAGGTTTTAAGGAAACGGAGGGATCGATGATGGTTACTGCCTAATTCCGGCTTTATATGTCCGCGCTCCATCTCTATCTTCTCCTAATGTGTCATCCTGCCAGAAGTGCCCCCGTCGCCCATTGTTGGATAATCTCCAAAAAATCATGGTCAAATTGTAGTCAAAATGTTCTTATAATTTCAAAGACAGTGAACAATCTGGACGAACATATTGTGGCATTGAATAAGTTTTAAATATATGTATAAAATATTCGTTTGTATTGTCTTTATTTGAAACATTTTTCAGTACTTTTTGAAAATATGTGGGAGTGGGAATGAGGAAGGCAGGGGAAGTGGATAGATGATGAAAGGGGGAGGAGGTGGTAAAGGGGAAGGGGTTGCGAGTGTTGATTCTACGTTCTCCGACAGAAGGTCAATAGATATTCGATATCTGTGAGGAAATATCACTTCCGTGCGTTTAACACCTGCTGCTGCAGCATCTCCGCTTGCGATACAGAGCACGCGGGATCGACTGTTATAGAAATAATTTCCAGAAAAGTCTGCAAACATCTGTGACAGAGAACGCACGACACAATATAAGGATCTCAATTGTCAACGACTCGAAAACATCTGCATGAGAATACGTGTGGATCACTAGCTAATGAGGATCACGCATAAATAATGTGGAGTCAAAATAACATTGATTGTTATCAGACGCAACAACAGTCGTTACAGCTTTGTACCCAGAAAATAACTGAAACAAAAGAAACTACAGCATTTGTCCGGAAAAACGTGTCTTGCAATAATGTTCGTACCCACTGATATGCTGATTCAGACAGGTGTGCTTGCGTACAACGCAAATTTAGTATGGTATTAACGAGAATATCGTGTCTAACAAAGCGCATGTACTATATTAAGTATTGCATCATTGTAAATTTGTTAATGTCGAGTTTTGAATGCATGTTGACCACCCATGACTTATACCGGGCATACTCAAGCGGATAAACTACACGGGGAATCAGTGTTTAATTGATCACCATTATATCACTGGTGCATGGTTCCAATTCCGTCTTAACATTAGAAAAGGGTTTGTTTACTCGGGTCGTTAGAATACATCCAACACATAACAGCCACAGTTGTATTGGCGCCTAGGATATTGTCTACAGCACATAACAGTTCAATAACACTGGGTCGTAGAACGCAGAATCGTGTCACACGAGAGAACAGACTTATTGGCATCGACCCGGGATGCAAGCACTTCGAGTAAGAATTGTATAAAGGAAAGAACACTCGAGCTCACTATACACACCGATTATGATTTTCCACTTATTGTCGGATAATGATAAATCGTTATACAGGAAAATATTTACTGAATACAATAAAACAGTTCTTTCTTTTGTCGATTTACTGGTAATTCGCTTACTGTGAAAAAAAATGTTTCCAATGCAAGTCCGTGCAATTTTCTATCCGAAAATATGTAAGATATTCCGTGTATTGTACACTGAAAAGCATTTGAACACATTTTTTTTAAATTTTCATTCGCTGTCTATTTAAGAATGTTAAACCAATTGAACCCCGTCCCAAATCTGTTTGATATAAAAATATATATATAAGAGCAAAATGTGATTGATTACGACCTCTTTAAATATCTATATATATCAAACGGTTGTGACGATATCTTCTTTAAAAGGAAACAGCAGTTTTATACATTTCCGCATTCTATCGAATCAAAATCTCCCACATTCATAATTGTTGTACGCAATTTCGCATAATTAACTTTAAGTCTTCGGGTCACTCCCCTCCCAGTCTCCCACGTCCCTCAGTCATGTGCTTGATTTTATCTTTTAATCGACAAAGTTACGCTTACCTGCATCGAGACACCTGTCTGCATACATTTTCACGGCTGAGTCCATGTGATGTACAGGTATACAACTACTTACCTTTCGACTACTGTGTGTCAGTCGTCATCACACCTTGCTTAAAGGCAAATAAATTACAGCCGTCCTTTGTCAAATTTACCCTAAATATTTTAGTGTATTTTACTTCAACTTCAATAGAGTATTGTGAATACGTACACCTGTTTTATATTGTGTATGTATGATTTTCTTATCAAGACACTTATTGAGATCGCCCAGAGCATCGGAAGATAACAAGTCTTTTACAACTAAGTCCAGATCCAACACACCTGTCAGATCTAACGACATAAATACGTCTCGTAAACATTAAAACACAGAAACGAGGCCCTGTACGAATGTTAATTGTGTATCAAATTTTGTCATATATAAAATTTAAAATATTTTTTCTATCTATTCACGTGAATAATAAATTTATAATTCAAATGAGGATGCAAATATTTGACGCTTTCTTAACGAATACAAATACTGATTTGAAAGAGTATTGTGTCTTTTTCATGTCTTTATTATATCTTAGGAGATTTCTTTGCTTTTAGTCAGTCAACAAAGCTGTTTGATTCAGTAAAATTAATAGTATATCAGTTATGAAACGACGTGTTCATTTAGGATAAAATTTAAATAACATTCGTAAAAAATGAATTTAAATAATCAACATACACAGATCACAGCTTCACGCCGTGTGATGAAGGATGAATGAAATGATCGACATGACGAACGATTTAAAATGAATAAATGCACTGATAATGCGTGTGTTGATTAGCAAAGTAAGGAACCATATCGAAAGAAGGAACGAAAAATATACTAACAAACTTACCACCAAACAAATATATAGAAGAAAGAATTGAGAATAAACCCAAAACGAAACAACTATTGAACGAACGAACAAACCAACATATAAATCAACCAATCAATCAATCAATCAAAGACCCAACCAATCAATTAACTATAGACCAACTAAACAACCAATCATCAGCAAACAACCAATTAACTATAATGTATACAACAACCTTACAACTCTTGTAATTAGTAGTCACCAACTTAAAAGACAGTGAAGTTTTGACAAAATAAACATTTACATAGTAGCAGTAAATCTAATTGAAATATGCTGTCTGTGATGTACAAAACAGCATGTTATTTTAATCAGACTGAGTAGCAGTAGGTGTTGAGCCATCGTCATTATGTCTAAGTTGGTGTATCTGACAGAGGCCGGGCCTGTGTGATCTGTGTTCTACGTGTGATGGATGGAGTGTGTATATCACCAGACCTTGTAATTAAAAAGGTTACGATATCACAACAATCTGGCGCCACTTAATGACGTTATATATCTTCTTCTGGCTTCATC